CACTCCATAGACCAAATTATCAGTGGCGACGGAGATGATTTGTCACTCTATCGTTTAAATCCGATGAGGAAATCCTGTAGTGTTCCTAATCAAACAAACCCCTTTGGCAAATAAGGGGAAAACTATATAAATTGGACAAACTCAGGTTAATTGTTCACAGTGGTTAATACCGGGTGAACAGGTTTCGCTGTAGTTTGAGGCGCTTTGAAGATCCATGCACTATGAATTTAGATATTGCATCACTATAGCATACAACCACGGCTTCTTCTCTGAATACTACACCGTTACCTTATGCTTTTGTGTCGAATTCTTACGTATGAGTGGTAAGTTTATAAGTCTATAAGTAGCTTCATCATCTAGAATTTTTTCGTCAGCACGCCCTGTTTATCTTAAATTTTGTCATAATGATTTGCGCTGTAATTTCGATACTTAAGGTATGTTTGAGAAGTTTATCACTTACGAGAAGCTTTGAAAGTTTCTAGAAATTTCAAACGTTTCTCTTTTTTCGCCGTTATCTGCTCGGGTGTCCATAGCTTTGGCGCTTTTAGGTAGACAACTGCTAAATAAGCTGATTTATCAATCGCTCCAATCTCAAACTGGTATGCTAACATCTGGTTATTTCAGTAATAACGAACAGTTAGCCAGCTAGCATAGTATTATTATCATTACTATTTTGCAAAAATTACTCGTTCAATGCTAACACATATACATATTTCACATATACATAATCCAATCATATACCTTTTGACACGGAAAATTGGGCCAAAAATTGCCATAGACAGGTCACGCCAAACAGCTGCACTGCATAGCGAACACTAAAGTATTATTTAAATTGTGAAAGATAATTACCGACACTTTTTTCTAATAATAGTAATATTGATCGTTGTTCTTACTAGCCTTAGCGGGGGTTTATAGACGGGATATTGTGCCTTATTTTTATCAAAAAGCAAAAAAACGCCTGAGAACCCGTTTACTTACGGCTCCCTGTTGGTTGACCTTGCTTCAGATACGTCGAGAGTACCTGGGGTATCTCTATTCACCCCAGGGGTATTCCGAACCCTCTGTGGGATCAATTTAAAGCAGAGAAAACAGAACGATGCATGAGCTGTTGAAAAGGTTTTGTTTTAATACATTTTGTTAGACTAAAAGTCACTGAAGTGTTCATTCTGTGGGAGACACAGTAATACTCTAGGATCGACAGGGATGATAACAATAAGCATAAGATCATCACGAGTCATTGTGTGGCGCAGAATCACGTTTATAGCACATGCGAACGTCGATCTCGGCACGTTTTTGCTGTACGTACACAGGGGCAGGTTATTTGGGGCCATAACTTGTAAAGCGCGTGCGCAATTCCTGTTATGGTTTGCAAACCGATGATCCGTAGTATGTATGAACGTTACTAGGCAACAGTCAGTCACCAATAACCAAAGCATTACAAAATGATTTCAACTGAACTTTAAACAAAAATTTTTGAACTGGCAAGAGAACCAAAGTGTCGGGCTAGGCTCCCAAGCAGCCAAGGTATAGCGAAAGAGAACCCATGAACAGAGACTTCATGGTTTAAAAACGCTATCGCAGATTAAAAGAACCTGTTTTCATTTGTAGAAAGTTGAATCACTTGGAAGAACATTCCACTCTCGTGGCGTAGGATTAAGGAAGTCTTTACGTAAAAACTTCCTGTGAAAAGAGGGAGGGCTCAACTCAACAACGTCGTCAAAACAGAATTCCTTGAACTGCACATTATGCAGCTGTGTGGATAAACATCCTTAAACCAAAAGCCACAACTTTTAGTAACACGGTACAACGCCTAGCTCTCAAACTAAAAATAACAGGAGTGGAAATTCTCAAAATTCTGCCCGCCACCTCGATATGCCCATGCACCAGTTTCGGAAATATTCGTCCCCCAATTACATATTTATCGTACTATTTTTAAAACTGATATTGAGTTCTTTACGACTTACACTCCCAAACCGCAACGAAAAAGTGCAGACCAGGGGTAAACACTAGTCCATGCATACTAGCCATTAGTGATACGCAAAATATAACGACATCGCGAATAATACCTTGAATTGCAGTAGATTAACATCGCTTTGTTTTGGATAAACATCCTTAAATTAATACCAAAACATTGAAGGAACACTTCACCTCGGCGTTGCACGCAAAGTAAACTAAAAATAACACTTGTGGAAATTCCGTTCCCGATTTCCTCGACAAAAATATGCCTTTCGGAACCAGTTTTGGCAGCATTCTTGGAAGCATTTCATTTGCCATATGACCCCACAGAGATTTTGTTAAGTTCTTCATCATTTAGTTTCCTCGACAAAAACCTGCAGGAAACTGATCTTACAATTCATTTCTTACCCTTTAGAAAAAAGACAGAAAATACATAAATTGGTTCCAAATGAAATGCTGAAGAGCCTCAGGATTATATTTACAGTCTCTAGGCCTGATACTCAGGCTACAAAAATAAGAAAGACCTGCTGGATTCTCTAATAGAGTCCATGAAATATACAGGTTAGAACTTTTATGTTGTTGTGTAACAAGTTTTAACCGAATCGTCAGTGCGGATACTTCTGAAACAGAATCTTTGTACCGTAACGAATTTTAGACAATCTGTTTTACAAGGCACTTCACAAAATCTGAATAAGCTATCTCCAAATAATCTATCTGTTAACGTCAGAGCGCAGAAAAACAAGCAGCAATTCTTACATCTACGATTAATAGTCTGGACTTTCAATTTGTAAGTCTCTTGCTACCGCCCGACCGCACATAATGCACACACCGGCGGATCTGCGATAATTTTCAAGAATGGAATTCAATCCGTGGGCAACGTGTAATCTCTTTAAAAAGATCTCTTAACTAGTTTCCTGTGTTCTGTTAGACATTTCCGGGGAGTACAGCAATCGGCAAATAGTAAACTATTTCCTCACAGGGAAAAATCACGCCAAACTTTCAAGGAAGAAACAATTTAAAGGCTATTCAAAACCACAAGTTTGTGCACTTGAGGACGAAGTCCTAAATACCACGATATTGAGCACTACAAGGTTCAACTACTGATTGATTGATTGAAAACGTTTATCGCTGATCACTGACCCGTGACACACTCACTGAACCTTTTCGTTCCATATCTTCGGCATTTTATAATGCAGTCATTTCTTGTCGCATCTTATTGACGTTTATCAAAGAAAATCAAATCAAAGGTGAGTTTTGAAAACACCGTTTCTTTCAAAATAGCTTGCAACTACTTTAAGCTGCTTTTTTGCCAAAAAAATATTTATATTACACATTCCCGATGAGTTGATCGGCTAGAATAGCTTAATTGGATTTTAACATTCGTCGCACGTAAAATTTACAGAAGTTTATAATAATAAATGGAATTCGTATGTTATATGCTAGGAGTAAATGAATGTTCGTAATTAAGTTGATCACTCTTTAAAAGGTTGCAACACCGCGAAAACAATTCTTTTCACTTAAATAAAAAGTCCGACGGAAGTTCAAACTCCAGGATACAATTTTAAAAGAAATCACTACGAAACAAGTAAACAGCATTGGAATAAACTGCTCAACTGTTTCTAGCCCATGCAATAAAGTCCAGGTATAAGTTTTAACCTTTCTTTTTTTTATAGACCGATGGGTCATTCATAATTCACATAAAATGCCTCAATTTTATCATCACTGCCAACTGATAAAACGCGAAATAACTTAACTGTTATTATAAAACTGCAACAGTAATTCGTCCCACAGTTCATTCAGTAGTTACGCGTGTATCAAAGACACTGAAAAAAAAAACACTATTTTAAAAAAAGTACACAAATGTTATGCAAGAAATGCCAGATCATTACATAATGAATTTATTCGCCCAACTGTTACTCTGAAATGTGAGAAAACGGTCCAAAAGAAACTGTTTCCTTTCGGTACAGAAATATATTTTACGCTTTGATTGAGATTGACTGCCGAAGGCAAAAAAAACGTTCATATCTTGTGGTTACACCACAGGAACACAGGAGGTCTAATGCTCGACACAATACATTCAGTGTTTTTGTTTTTATTATTATTAAGGAATATCTATATCAATGCTAATTTTGGAAAACAGAGTTGAAAGAACTTATAATTATCGTCACGAAACACTGTTTTGTCTAGCGTCGGCTTCTAGGCGAGAGCCCCGTAAAAGCTAGTTTTTAATTAATTTCGAGCGCAAACAACTATTACCAGTAATTACTAAATCCTTCAGTAAAACAAGTCCACTTTAAGAAGCATCCAACTGGAAAATGACGAAAATGAAAATCTTGATTAACAATTCTTTGGGTAAAAATGGATTTTTAAGGTACCTCATAAGTTAAGCTTCGAACCTAGCTATTTTAATCTCTGATGAAATCTGTCGAGTCAGGAAAGAATTAGGGAGTTCATATTTTCTTAGGTAACATTTCTTCGACGCATCGTAGTAAGTAATTATAAAAAAGCATTTATTCTAAAAGCTTGATGAGTGAACAAAGGAACGGAAGGCAAACAATGCGAAACAAATGAAATATCGCGTCAAACGCGTTTCAGATATGTCAAATCACAACATTCACAGGCTAGACACTTTTGAAGTTAAGAAAAAGAATTAATATGACATTAATTGCGGCATTCGTAAAACAAACGTTTAGGCCATGACCTGAAAAAACCTAGAGCTATTTAATTACTTCAACAGGAGACAGGCAATAAGGGTTAATAATAGGCCTATCAATTGACTGTCATTGCGAGCAATCAACAGAAACAATACAACCTGACGTGTATACATAACTGTTTCCTTACAGGGTTGATCCGCTGGGCCCCCGATGCATTGTTGGTGCACGAAAGGTGGTAATTTCCTTTGTATGTAAACCTGGTCGGCTTTCATAAGCAACAGGCCGCGACGCGACACAGACGTGTGTATCCCACACCTCGCAAAGAATAGCACAGCTATCAGCAACCAAAACAACAAAGCAGGGCTGCTTTGAACAAGGACATTGAGCACGATGTTGAAGTTTGCCGTGAAGCGCAAACCAGTGGAATTGTTTCACGAAGCGGTCCACAGCAAGGACGTGTTGCGGGTGACATTTCTGCTCGAGCAGAACGAATCGCAATTCCACGTTGACGACATCGACGAGGACGGCATTACCGCGCTGCAACGGAGCTGCTTTACAGGGCCTCTAAAGCTTGTGCAGTTGCTGGTAACGTATGGCGCAGACATAAACATTCAGGATAAGGAGGGCTGGAGCGTCATGCACGCCGCTACTGTTGCCCAAAATCACTCGATTATGCGTTATCTCATTGCAATGGGAACCCAACTGGGCTTAGAAAACGATCAAGGAGAACAAGCCATCGATCTGGCGCGCGATCTACAATCGGTTGTAATACTCGCCGAAGCTATGCGGCGCGCTGGATTAGCCAAGGACGTGGAGGAGTTTTTAAAAATTCGGCCAGACGTACGGGAAGCTTTGGAGGAAAAGCTTCTACAAAGCGATGCTATGAGAATGGAACAAGAACGTAAGAGGGCAGCGAGCGAAATTGTACCTTCGAAAAAGCCGTTGAGTGCTGAAACGCAAATAAGGCGCAGTTCCTTAGACGTACTCGGTGAGTCAAGACCTCCAACCGCCAACGTCAGATATGATGATAAAGATCTGGGGAGGTTAATGGATATCCGACGACCTATGAGTGTTGTATTACCCACTAGTAATATTCTCGAACTCTCCAGAAATCAGGTTGATTTGGACGGAGGAAGTTATCCTTGTTCATTTTGTCCGAAATGCGGGAAACGTCGACAAGAAATCGCGAAAAGGCGTTCGACAGCATCCCTGTGTTCAAACTCGTCCGATTCCTCTACTTCTTCCGACTCGGCCTACAGCTCGGGATCAACAAATTCTGCGGGTATTTCGGAGGGATATGAGCGCGGAGGGAATGTTGGAACACTGACCACAGCAGCCAAGCAAAACAACAACTCGAGTGGGGACAACAACGCTCATGATCGAATACGTGTAACTTCGAGAAACATTTACCGGGATGTCGTAAAATATCATACAACCCACGATTTGAAACAGGATGAACGCATTTATACACCTAGGCAATATTCACCGCCAGAAATTTCAAAACAAAATAGTTCGGGTAAAAATCATCAACAACGATTACGTGCTTCTACCGTTGGCATTTTCCCAGTTCCCGGGAAATTTCCCAATCCCGCAGAGCGAGTGATGCAGACGGAAGGCTATCAATTTCCATCGCGAAGAAATTCATCGCCCATTTCAAGGAAAATCGACGAAATTACTAACATAAACGAACTGAATAGCAGGGGCATCTCGCTTCTTCACGAAGCAGCGGCGAGAGGCGATTCGGAAGGAGTGAAACTGTTACTTCTCCACGGCGCTGAGGTAAACAGGCAATCGTTAAATGGGAGCAGTCCACTTCATGAGGCTGTGCGCCAAGGAAATCCGGTCACAGCATCGATATTGATAGAGCATGGCGCAGATTTATTTACAGAGACTGACAATGGTTTGCTACCGATTGATATGGCTCGAAATATTGAAATGAAACGTTTCATTGAAAACGCCATGACTTTGAAGTAACTTAATCATTTTGATACTGCCACTATAGATTTGTATTTTTATACGAAGTGAATTAATTATTTAAAGCGACATCTATATAAATGTGTCTTCAGAAATAATAGTCTATATAATTCAAGATGTTGTGTTCGATTGACTGACGAAATTGAACAACTGAAAGCAATAAAAAGCAATTACTGTTAAGTGATTCGTCAGACATTTTTTGTAAAGGAAACCCACGGGAACGGGTTCGCGCAATTAATTTTCTTTCCACAACCTGCCACCGGCTTTCACAAACGCGCTTTCGTGAAATGTTTACATAAATCAGTCGGCGGAAAAACTTGGTATAGCAAGTAATAAAATTCAAATCAGACCATTTTTTTAATATCGGGAGCTACATTTGCTATTTGTCAAGATGGCGGAAAAGAATTGCCGCGAATCTCCCGCGGCAAAAAGCTAAATTAGATACATGCTTGTGAAGTGAAGGAAATTGCATTTCCAGACATGTTTTTGCAGTGTTTATGTTTGAATCACCAAGTTCAATATTTAGCGAGTGATATCGAAATCTCCTCTTCTCATTCGTTTGTCGCGCACTTGCTTTCAAGTTCTTTTGTTCCGCGAATTAGCAAGCGGCGATGCACTTTTATTGCTTGTTAGCCTGCGTAGCTGGCGGTATTGTGTGGGTGCGAGATTAAAGTTTTGGCGGCGGAGCCGTGTTCCAAAAAAAGGGAGTAGGGACGAGGCGGTTATTTCTCGCTGCTTCGCCGCTCGTGACGGCTCCGCCGTCAAATCTCACTCGACTATATTACAACGGCTCCGCCGCCAAATCTCACTCGACTACTACACAATACCGCCAGCTACGCAGGCTAATTGCTTGTTCAAACTACAATGGGAGCGGAAGGAATAGGTTTTCTCGTTAAAGGGACCTAAATAAACAACATAAATGCAGTTTTATACCGGTTCATTTATGGCTTCTTTTCAGGTCTTTGTTCTATGCTATTGGCAAAGTTTTTGTTTCTGCGTATAAGCTTAGTAACGGAGGACTGTGAGAAATTATAGACAACAGACGCAAAAGCTTTGAAGAAAGATAAAAATACGACCGCCTACCATCAAGCGCAGCTATTTTTTCAAGTTACGGAGAATTCAAGCTCGGATTTTCAAATACCACGCGGGCAAGACATGCACTCAACATCATCATCATCAACATCCTTTTTTACAGGAGTAAGTTTTTACCCATCAAATTCACCTTTACAGTAAAGTAAATTGCTGACCTGTTTGCACAAGGCCTTACTTCCCGAGATGAGATCATCAGGAAGGATTTGTGGTGTTTGTTCAGTTGTACAATTATTTCCTCGCGAAAAGTTTTAATTCGGCTTTACCGTCACAAAGTGGCGTTTACTTTTTCATTAAATTTTAATTAGGATTTCAAGCAAGATCTTGGCAGCGCAACAATTGCTTCTTGCCAAATTAGCAGTGGACGGAATTAGTTTTTAATTATTCTTTTAAATGGAAAATAATCTTTGTGTGAGCCGCAACGCCAGCTTTCTGTAAGCAAACGGCGTCTATTAAAGGACAAAAGGGATTCGAGCCTGCGGGCGCGCGCATACGCTAGAGTTGGGATTCTTGGTTTGTGTGTTTTGGGCCAGCGACTCTCGCGCTATCTAGCGGCCACTCCCGAAACCACCGCACACTAGCACGATAACGGCGTTCGAGACCACACTGTTTTATTTTTTTTAAAACTAAATTCCTCCATCTTTTATCATATCACTTGCTTGACGCCTTCCACAAGTGGGAGAGGAAAGCGTGAGGAAGCACCAACCATACGAACGTTTGTTTGGTGGCCAAACCCTCTCTTCGTATATTGGAATGTAGAACTGTGGCGCCTCACCCTATCAACAAGACGTTTTGAGGAAATAAACTCATTGAACGTATTTCTGACCAGCAAACTGAAGCTTGTGTTCACTGTCGACTGATGTAAAGACGCAGACATACCGTAACTGAGCAATGTGCATTTTCCCGAAAGTCCCAAAACGGTCCCGCTTTTCACGAAGACTATTCATCCTTGTTGTGGTCAGTTTAGCCTACGCAGCGAACGTTTCCGCGCTAGTTCGTCGAGAAAAATATTTCCCAGGCTGAAATTCCTGACCGGTATGTGACCGGAGGTACAAAAACCCGTAAAGACCCGCTAAGACAACTTCCTTATCCTTATCCTCACTTTCTATTCTGGGCTTTAATGTTCCATGGCCGGTTCAAGTTTAACGTTCACGTGACCACGTGACAGATAACCCGGTAGAAGCATTTTCCTTGTACAAGTAGATGCATACCTCGTATTCAAATGAGGTGTTACCAGTCACAAAGAGAGCCACAGACAACGATGACTTCTTGGATTTGTGACAACTGCCATCACACAACGCGTGACTAGCATGTGGCGTGATTCCGTCTAGCGTCACGCAATCACCTCCTCGATGAAACGAAGGATCAGAACGGCAATTCCGATAGCGCCCAGTCCACAAGCGACCCAGACCGCTGTCCACCAGAACCCGGGTCTACTGTCCAGTGAGAAGCCGAGGTAGCTGAAAATAAAGTTGTTTTCTCTTCAGAAAGGAAAGTACCCTGCGAGCAGATGATTCTTTCTGGCATGGGTTTTAGCATTTACGAAGTCGTTCGCGTCGTTTGTTAGTCCCGTAGTTGGTTTTTTTGTGAGAGAGTAAATGCTAAGAGCCTTGCCAGAAAGAAATCTCTGCTCGCAGGGTAAAAGCAAAGAGACACAACGCCAATTACACACACTTGTTGATCAAGAATGCGTTTCCACTTACGTGGTAAGCGCTAAACAATAAAAGAGTTCAACTCCCGAAGGACTGGTTTGGGACACTAACATTGCCGCCGTGTCAGGTGAAAAGTCCCCAAATTTTTCGTAAGATCGTCCAGAGCCCGGGGAACTCCCAAATAAAAGAGACAACGAACAACGCCGTCTCGCTTTGGGGTGTAAATTGCTGATTTTGGTCTCACTTAGGGTGTTTGGGATGGAAAGTCACTTATACTTGCCAGTTCAGGTATCGCTTAGTACTGTGCATAAAGAACATACACACATTGGTCTCCCTTAGGGGGGCCCTTAGGGGCTTAATTTTCGTCGAGCATCCCTGTCACTTTTGGGAGGGAGGAAATGCGAGCTCCCCTAAAAAACGCCTGCGTGGGAGGTTAGTCTTCTTTAATAGGACTGGAGGCAAATTCCAATTTTCCAACAAGTATTCTTGTCCCTTTTTGTATCTTTTCCGGGGGATTGGGGGATCGGGGGAACAGGCTACCTATATGTTCATTTTGACTAGGCTAAGGTCAAAACTTAACTCACCTTGCTCTACAGTGCACGACAAAATCCATCAATCCATCATTTGTGAAGTCACCGTGTGCGACAGGGGAGAGTGGATCACAGGGTATGGAGTGAGAAGCTAGCAGAGAACCATCTTTAAGAGAGACTAGTACCAGACGGCTTCGGCCAGTTACCAACACGGCGTCCTAAAACAAAACAAATAGGGAACTTAAGCAACGACACCGGCAACGGTAACGAGAACGGCAAAAAAAAAAGCAAAACAAACAAACAAAACAATAGGTTTGGATTGGCAAGACAACAACTTTGCAAGTGCTTTTTTGTACACTTCTCTGTCGTCCTTGCCCGACTACGACGTGAAACTGCTTATAACTGTACGTTTTGTGGAGGACGTGGTCACAAGACTTTCTTCTTCTTTCCCTGAACTTTAGAATTCCATTGCAGAAACATTTGCCAGTATTTGTCAAACTGAACGAGATGGAATAAGCGAGATAAAGTTTGAAGCTGCGCGAACGCCCTTTTTAACCCATTAATCCCCAATATCCACATACAAATTCTCTAAAATGATCTGCATACATTTCCTTTAAGAATTAGTTGAGGATCATGCAATTTTTTCCTTTGGTGATCATTTTATTAATTCTCATAACTTTATCTCTTGACAATGTATGGATATCGTTAGGAGAAAATTGTTGTTGGTCATTATAGGGACTTAAAGGCTTACGTGACGTTTTCTTAACCGCCGCCTTCGTTGGTGTTTTATCTCCCTAAAGACAAAATGTTCCTACAAGTTCCTAGTTGGGTACTCCCTAAAATGGCCCATACGTCGAGGCTCCGTCGAGGCTCCCCTGGGAAGAATCGCGGGCGCATCGAGACATCCGCGGCTGGAGACTAAGCGTAGGGTGCACCATGGTCTATAGGAAACATGGGTTTCGACTAAATAAAGGTTAATTTTTGTGTGTAATAACGTTGAATTACTCACATTAAAATAGTCCTTTGTCTTTTCTGGTCAATTTTCTTCTTATATTCTGTATACTCTGTTTCGCTCTGCCCTAGTTCACAGCTGAATCGACATTGGTAATGTCTTGGTAACCGGGCGTTCTCTTCGAATCCAAAGAGAATACACCGGGCGCTTAGCGTCCACGCCTTAGGATTCGAAGAGAACGCCTGGATACCAAGACTTCATGAATGCCGATTCAGCTTTGAATCAGAACGGAGCGAAACAGAGCGTACTTAAATGTGAGTAATTCAACTTTATTACAAAAAAAAAAAAAATACGTCGAGACCCTTGTCTCCTCTAGCCCATGAGATGCAAAAATAGGCAAAGGAAGAGCTCCCAAATGAATGATATAAATTGAGTTTCAAGCATTTCACATTAAAATACAATTATTTCACATCAAAATATAATTATTCGATATTCTTACGCAAATGAGACTTACTTTCACAAAGGGGAGGGGGCTGCTGAACACCTTTTTATACAGGGAGGCTCCGCCCCGAGGTCCCACCCCTTACCCTTTTATCTACCATTTTAGACAAAAAAGGTATCCCCTTCGAATAACCGCCATTAAGAAATAGTGCTCCTTTCACACACCTACTAACAGGTAAGTCTTCTTTTCATTACATGTAGTGCTTAATAAAATAAAATCGCACGACCATAAGGTACGTCTGTTCGAAGCATTATGTTTAAAGGCGCTTAAAATGCCTAAATTAAGGGTCTCCGTACCTTTTCATATACTCAAACTCGAGAAATTCCTCTCCTTTCACTTAGCTGAAGCCTGAAAAACGTACCCCTTTCAGACAGAACATCCCTGTATTGGCCATCATGCAGCGATTACCCCCCTCCCCACCAGAAAGGGAAAGAGGGTTAAGCTCTTTTAATATAAAACCTACCTTCACTCGACCCACGGATGTTGTTACCGCTTGAATATTTGGTACAAAATCCGCTTTTCTTGGGTTAGTTTCTTTTGGGTCGTAATTTAACCACGAAGCCTCCGTGTCAACCTACAAGGGAAATCAAAATAAAATGGAGGTAATGGCTATCACGCTTTGGGGTTTCATCGCGTTCGTCAGAACGCACCATAATCTGGTGTTCCTGTGGTACAAGGGCAGAAATTTTCGAGCTATCACGGGCGACTGCCGATTAGCCGCCCCTATTAATTTTATCAGGGTCATCTCGGCCGCAGGAAGATGGACTCCTTTGGACTCGTTTTCGTTTCATTAGCCTCGTTTTCGCGCGGGACGTCATGCTCGTGGAATAAGACGAACGCGGATCCATAAGCAATGATTATTACTAGTAGTAGAATTACTGGGAACCTAGTGGTCTACATTGTGTCCCACAAATAGTAAGAACAGAAACACATAACTGAAATAAACCTTGCAAGTAAAAATCCCAACTGGCTGGAGGTAAACCAGAAGCCATAAAAAAATGGGTCATTAAATTGCCGACTTTCGCGCGTGTTGATTCTAGATTCAGAGGGAATATTATCAAATTTCGGGTACTGATCTCCATCTGCGCGTGCTTAGCCGCAATATGTACTGTATAAGGAGGCCAAACTAAGAAAACCCTTGCTTGGGCTTCCTGTAGACAGTTGTTAGCGCAATCTATATGAAGTGAAGTCACTGCAATCTATCGGAAATGTAGGCTGAGGCTCTATTACCGCAATGCCTACGTTCAGTCCCCCGACTCGGGGAAAAACAAAACCTGACCCGAGAGAGCGGCGGAAATAGAGCCTACAAATGCGCCGCGTCCAGAGCAAAGTAATAAACTTGTACTTAGTACTTAGATTTAAAATCCGGATTTCGGATTTGTAATCGAAAGCAAAATCTGAAACGGATTTCAACGCTGAGATATCTGTTCTTGGATTCCCTTACTTTCCGTTTTTTTTTTTTTTTTGGAAATCCAAAAAAGGATTTAAAAAAAATTTTTTAAAAAAAGCGGCTTTGCCCCCCCCCCCATGTTTACAAAAAAAAAGCACCCTTTTCCGGAAAAAGTTCTTGCAAATTTTTTTTGGGTTTTCCCCATCGAACAGAAAAAAGAAAATCCATAAAATCCGGGATTGGATTTTTTTATTAAAATCACCCCGGGGGCGGGATTCCGCGTCCAGGGCAAAGTAATAAACTTGTACTTAGTATTTAGTTTTAGATTCCGGATTTCGGATTTGTAATCGAAAGCAAAATCTGAAACGGACTTCAACGCTGAGATATCTGTTCTTGGATTCCCTTCCTTTCCGTTTTTTTTTTAGGGGAGTGGGGGGGGGGGGGAAATCCGAAAAAGGATTTGAAAAATAGTTTTTAAGAAAAGCGGTCTTGCACGCCGCCGCCCGATTAGCAAAAAGAAGACCACTGTTCACGAAAATAGTTCTGCAAATCTTTTTTCGGATTTCCCCATCGAACAGTAAAAAGGAAATCCATGAAATCCGGAGTTGGATTTCTTAATTGAAATCCACCCTGAGGACGGATTTCTCGGAGGTGAAATCCGTTTACGGATTTCGCGTTCGATTGCAAAATCCGGGTTTCCCAATCGAAGGCAACCTAGTTATAACTTGCGACTTCGTTTCAGACGATTTTTACCTGCCAGTTAAACTCTCCGTAAGGCCCAAAGCTTGTGAGTCGTCCGGATGAGATGATAAACACGCTATCATAACCTCGGATGGACTCGCGCTTAACCTTGTCCCCTGAAAGATGGCTAAATATCCCCGACCTGTCCAACGGACTTTCCACAAGCAGGGGAGCAACAGGGACTGGCTCTTCACGAAAATCTTCCTCAGCACTGGAGTCAAAATATCTCCCAAACGAAGATGCTGGACGGCATATCGATCCGGTGAACAAGGTCTTGGCGCCAGAAGTCACCACAGCTGAGCAAGGATTGATTTCTGCTTGAACACGTGGCTCGGATGAAAAATACATTGTCACGTGCTCGATGACGTTATCACCATTGATGTCGCCCGCACTAGTGGTATCCTTGGAAACTGTGTAAGTGCATAGAGGCTTACCGGAGTCGAGGCTTAAAACTTCGATGGACCTGTGGCGGTGTATAACCACTACATTGGGCTGCCTTTCTCTGCTTAATTCTTGTTTGGAGTGAGTTTCATGGCGTCCTGATGGCGTTCTGGTTAAAAGACAGTTAAAAGAATTCTAGTTACATACATACAGTCGAAACTGTATGAAGCAGCCACCCTATTTTACGCGGTAAGCAAGAGATAGGCGTATGCCAATACTGTCCCTATGAAGTCCTCTGTAGGCATATGCCACTACTGGCCCTCTGAAGCCCTTTGCTGATGTCATTGTTTATATTCTTCCTCGTTAGCATACGACTTAACTCGTAGAAACCGTGGCCGTATATATGAACTAAATGCAAAAGTTGAAAGAGCTGATTAAGTTGAGCAATTTGTGCAATTTTCAGTTCTTTGCAAGCAATATTGAAGGAAATATCAGCCATCAAAAACTGCGAAATTGCTGTGTGGCAAAAAAGTTAATGAGCCATACATTCTCTGTAAAATTTCGAGTTTTAAGAAGAGAATTTCTCCGAAACCATTCGATGTATTGGGCTCAAAATTTCAGAGATAACTGAAATTGTTATGCCCTTTCAATATTTAGAGTTTTTACTTTATTAGCGTCATCAGATAGTGACAAGCATATGTTAATGAAGCAATAAGTGTAAACAAAGATTCGCCTATACTGGCCATCCGAAACCCTTGCGAGGCGTATGCCTTACTGGCCCTCTGGTGCCTTTGGTAGGCGTATGTCGATATTGGCCCTCTGTAGGCGTGTGCCAATACTGGCCCTGTGGAGCCCTTTGTAGGTGTTTGCCAATACTGGCCCCATGAGACCTTTCATAGGCGAATGCCAATACTGTCCCTCTGAAGCCCTTTGTAGGCATATGCCAATACTGGCCCTCCGAAGCCCTTTGCAGGCGTATGCCAATACCAGCCCTCTAAGGCCGTTTATCCATACCTATGTGGTGTTCTAGCTGCAGATGATGGCATTTTCTTTACAAAGTGAGCGGTTTGTATCTTTGTATCAGCTGGGTGTTGCCATCTGTATGGCATGGAAGTGATGAGGGATTCTGTGTAGTAGCTCCAATGGACCTCGCCCACGTGATACTGACTGGAGTGCAGAGCCAGCTTGAAATGGTAGGCTGAAAGAATATCCTTGATGAAACAAGATAACAAAGATTCTCAGGACGGTTTGAGTATAGAAAATCATGTCAGAGTTGCATTGGCTTTGCGTCGTCTACCCGTTGTGATTGTCGAGTAGAAAATAATGACCTCTAAGGTAAGGACGAGATGTTCTCTATAGAGACCTTAAGATCGAGGTTTTGGTCATTTTTCTCCAAACGACAAACTGCGGTTTGCGGTTAAAGGCTTCACGTTACCTGTCTGCCCATATTTGGGACTTAAGATTCGCGGGTGGTAGCGCGCGGCTGCCATGTTTGTTTTCATCCATCCTCTTACTTCTCTTTTTGCCGAGAAATAGGCCACTTGCACTAAGAGGTCACGTGACCAATGCTTCCTTTAAACAATGAGTTGGAATCTTGCTGATGCCAAAAATTGTTAGAGCACACAAAAGTTATCTTATACCCGAAATTTGAGAGGAAACGCATTTAAGGTAGATATTTTACGGCACTTTGATTTTTCAGCAAAGCAGTATGACTTGTATTGGCCGCCATGTTGGAGGGCATGCTCTTGCCCTCCAACATGGCGGCCAAAACTACTTCTTGCTTATATCTTGTTCAACGTTTCATATTTACGCTCAGATGTGCTGTAAACATTATCACATCATCATTTCAACATTTTCCTTGAATTTTAAGTGCAAAATTTGTGTTCAGAGAGAGGTAATTCATAATTTTAAAAATCTCATTTTGGTCACGTGACCATTTACGAACTTAATCATTTTAAGAAAATGGTGCGGGTTTGAAAAACCAAATCACTATTATTTTGTTTAAGATATGACCCACTAATCGTTTTTCGAAGGCAAAATCATACAACTTTTATTTTCATAAAAAAGATGTCACATGCCTCTTAGTGCAAATGGCCTAGTGTGTTCAAAGTTACGTTTTTTTCAAATAGTATTCGATAATCAATGAGCACAAGAGTTCTAAAAAGTCGTATTTCTTGTCAAACGTGGGATCGTGATGTGTTGGGGTGCAAAAAACCTTGCGGTAAATCACTTATTTCTGGAGCGTGGTCTAGCCATACAGACGTGAACCTCAAACCGCAAACCTGACGGCAAGACCCTGGTCACGTGACTTCTTGACCTTCGCGGTTCACGGGAAATGCCAAAAAACCTCAATCTTAAGGTCTCTAATACTCAGTAATGCGTGCGTAAACCAGCGTCATTTTGGAGGAAAAACGCAGTAGCCGTGGTCACTTTACTACAGTCTTTAGCCAGACTGTCGTTGTGGGGGAAACAAGTCATCAGATGTTAGAAATTTTTCATTTTGCATTCGGGAGAGGGCTAGCCTCCCACACAAACGTTCTTAGGGAAAGATTGCGTGACGAACCCTTAAGAACGTCTGTGTGGGAGGCTAGGAGAGGGCTTACAATGCAAAACTTACTTTTTTGTGAAAAAAAAAAGGTACAATAAAGTTTTCCGGGGTGTATATATTTTGAGAATACGCGAAAAAACTTTTAGTTAAATTTCGTCCTCATAGTCGTCCTCGTCCTCTACTGAATAACATTCGCCTTTGAACAATATCCAGCATAAATTTACCGATGTGCAACGAAATTCTACAAATTGTGATGTCGTTGAGGTATTCAGTCGACTCCTCACAATTAAATATCATAATACTTATTAAAAGGATAGTATTTGGGCTTGACGAAGAAGTAAAAATCATAGCTAGGAAATCATAAGTAAGTAAACTGTGTCACAGACTGTGTGAATTTATATTGCAGAATTATTATGTGGTGGCAAGTACACTTCTTGGGAGGCGTTTTTGTTGGTGGCGAGATGACCGTAAATCGTTTCAGTGATGCCTGTACTTACTGATCAAAGACCAAAGACTATCGATTTGGGGCTGAAGATTTGCATAGTAATTAAAGACATTATTTTTAAGACGAAGCAGTACCTCTCTTGAATTTTTCGTAGCTTCATAGTCCCCTGGTTCCTGTTTCCAGTGAGTTGCTCCTGTTTTACTGTTAAGTGCGTACGTAGAAAAGTGTTCCTTTTCTTCAAAAGTCTGTATGTTGAAAAAGAGAAAAAAGAGAAATAAAAATCATGAAAAAATAAAACAAGAAATGAAAATCTTCTATGCTGCAAATAGAAATTGAATTAGAACAAACAGACCACTATATTGATTAACTTGTGCGATTTCAAATCAATCAAATCGCCAAATTTAATTTGCACTATTAAAGAAAGCTACCCCTATGATACATGTATAAGCATATCTACGTACTTTAATATTGAAATATTTACCGTTTTTGTATGGCGAAAGCGTCGTGGAGGCAGTTTTGCTATTTCATCTGCAGTAAGCCCTGCAGACATGTTATGTTGATGGTCATGCCTGAAATTAAGATATCGCAAATTTTGGCAAGTTCACTGGTGCACCATTAAGAGAAGGCAAGAGCCATAATAGGTCATTTTAAATTTAAATACTATTAAAGCAAAAACGTGCAATGAGACTCTACCTGGGTTTTTCGGACGAAATCGATGTCGCGACAATTGCTAAAATTAGGGAGCTTAAGCAACGACGACGGCGACGGCAACGAGAACGGCAAAAGATTAATAGGTTTGGATTGGCAAAGCAACAACTCTGCACGTGCATCACTCTTTTTTGAACATTTCTTTGCCGTCACTACACGACTACAGCGTGAGATTTGCCTAATTTCACGTTGTGTCAAGGACGTGAACTCAAGACAACGACTTTCTTTTTCTTTTCCCTAACTTTGATCTTGAAGATTTCAACTCCAGAAAAATTTGCCGACCATGACGAATTGAACGAGTTGGAATAAGCGCGATAAAGTTTGAAGTAGCGCGAATTCACTTTTTTTCATAGCCGTCGCGGTCGTTGTAAAGGGAGCTTAAGCAACAACGACCGCGACGGCTATGAAAACGTCGCTTATAAAATAAAGACGTCGCGCCGCCTCAAACTTTATCGCGCCTATTCCATCTCGTTCAATTCGTCAAATGTTGGCAATTTTTTCTGGAGTTGAATTCTAATAAAAACTGTATCGAAGTTCAGAAAAGGGAAAAGAAAGTCGTCGCTTTGTGTTCACCTCCTCCACAAAACGTGAAATTAGGTATTTTCACGTCGTAGTCGCGCAATGACGGCAATGGAATGTACAAAAAAGCATGATGCACGTGCAAAGTTGTTGTTTTGCTAGTCTAAACTTATGTCTTTTTTGCCGTTCTCGTTGCCGTCGTCGTCGTCGTTGCTTAAGCTCCCTCTTACGAAACCACGACGGCGACGGCAACGGGAACGTCAAAATGCGATAGGTTTAGGGAGCAAAACAACAACTCTGCAAGTGCATCACGCTTTTTTGTACATTGCTTTGCCGTCACTGCGCGACTACGACGTGAAATGACCAAATTATAAGTTTACTGTGGAACGGGAAAGGCAAGGCGATAAATTCAACCATCTCTGTTTGAACTCGGGCGCAGTCCCTTCCCTCAGCCCCAACCCAACGAGAAGAGACAAGGTCAAGCGCTCATATTTTCGCGTACCTTTGACTTACGCGTCATCCTACTATCTGAGAGCCTGGAACAGGCTACGCAAAACAATTCTTGTTACGCGACGATTTGGTGGAAAATCGACGACGGGCGAACGCAACGAAGTCCGCAGGTACGCATAGAGGCTCTATAATTATCATTAGTACAGTAGTTACTCTAAATGACGATCTTTGAGTGGGTCTCCTTTAGCCACTTTCGCTCCAATCAAAACCAGGCCATGGTCAGGTGAGTATGGTACAATTCTTACAGCTATCTCGCTACAAATTAAAACAACAAAATACAAATAATTTATTAAGGTATCAATATTCTAGCAAAGTATGTCAAGGCTTTGGACACAGCTTTACCCAAGCAAAGGCTGGCAATAAAAATACCGTGAAGGGTATGAACCTAGGAGTCATTTCATAAGTAGGTTGAGTATGAATCGTCCGGGTGAACGTAGTTCCGAACAAAGAGGATAGCAGGTTTGTATCTTTGATACTACATGTAATCTCTCATGAAACAAAAAAATTAGAAGGCAGGAAAATAGAAATAAAATAATACTGTAACAATAATGATTGTCCATCCCTCCTGATGGACATTTCTATAAATGACACCTGGAAAGAGTTGCTGCCATTCTTCAGTCAATTTTCTTTGTCTGTCTTTAGGATGGACACAACCTGGTCCCCAGGGCGCTTCAAAAGTCAGGGAAAAGCACCCTTGGGACGAGGTTGGGATGGACACACTAAGATAGAGGACCTGTTACGGTCAAATTCCGACAAGTGACAAGGCCTTAATGACCTGGCAACAAGCGACATAAAGAATAGCAACAAAGAAATGGCCCATTTTTTCAAAACACGAAACGACTGTATCTGATTTTCAGACTAGGGAAATACATTCCCCTCATCCTCCCCCCTCCCCCCCACCCCCCCCTCGCCCCCAAGAGGGCTTCAAGAGAAAAGATGGTATGAACATTCAGATAGAACTGAACGAACTGGGCACGCTTGGCTACCTACCTAAAATATATTGATTGTAATTCTCTATCATCTTTGAAAACAACAGTCATCCATAGCTGCTCCAGCTGGTCTGTGAAACAATGTGCCACTCCATCATCCGTCACAACGACTATAATCTGCAGACAGATGCCGCACTTATCAACAGTTGTTTTCGGGTATGTTATCACATATGTAAGTTTGAAACAACAGAAAGCAAAATTTGAATCAAGGATTAAATTAACTGCATCATAAACAGACCTCTTAGGCAGTTTTTATTCTTTTTAACTGGAGGTCTTTATTCACATTGTAGTTTCTGGAGTTTGATCTAAATACAAGTCTGAAGTCTGAGTACATGTATCTGGAGGTTGATCCATATACAAGTCTGAGGACTGAGTACATGTATCTGTTAAAGGTCAAATTATATTCAGGTTAAAATATTTTAACCTACAATCCTCATCACATTAAATTGAAACACCCCATGCAGTAACCACATTCTGACAAAAAGTTGTGCTCCTTTCCTCCCAGTGTTGAATATTTTGCTCCTGTGATGCCAACTCACAAACACCAACATTGAGAGGGCAGAAAAATCACTACTGTCCCAACTAATGTGAAGAGGATTGTAGGTTGATTTTCTACTTCCTTTGTCTCCTATGCCTGATTATTCATGAATTAGGGATAGGGCACATGACAAGAGAATCAACCTGGGTTAAAAAATATTAAGTAAAAACCTGAATATAATTTTGACATGTGACATATCTACATCACCTGACGACAAACATCAAGAGAAGAAAGTCTTCTGTGATCACATCCTGCTCCAAGATCCACAGGAAGAGCAGATTGAGAGGAGTTAGAATGAAGTACCACTTCTTTCTGAGAAACAGAGAGATACATTGTATTAAACAAAAGTCAAATTGCCCTACCTTAATGGAAAAGTACACTGTCCACTAGCCTGTATAGCAAGCGTTTCTGTGTGGCTTAGGAGAAAAGAACAAGGAACGAGAGTAAAACTGACTGCAACAAAAGTGGCGCAAGTAAAAGAGCGGGGAGGGGGTGGGGAAGAAAGGAAGGAAACACTTGCAGACAAACCCCGGGATTTTGAAAACCGCCCACTTGGCCTGGCATGCCTGAGTTCGCGCACCGACATTATTTTGATGCTGTCATCAGCTGTCATAATTGACCAATAAAATGTTTGGCCTCCCGTGGAGTGGAAATGAACTCTAGAGGACGCGTGTGTGAAACCAAAATAATTTTTTGTTTGTATTTTGAGTCACAATGTAGTCCTGCATAGTGGATGCAACTTCAGTTCAAGGTGCAATCCACTTTTTGAAATTTGGATCTATAAATCACTATCGTTCCGGGAAAATTTAACATCCCGGAAAAAAAAAAAACACTAACGAGCTGGGTTCAGCATGACAAAACATTGCAGGAAACCATCGCATACCCTGACAAAAGAAAATCGCTTTCAGTTATTCAGATCCAGGAGACACTGGGGAATAATAATCGTTTGAGAAGAAGTTAAAGAAAATTCTCTGGCATTGGAAGGCAAATCTTGCCGACCAGAATAAACAACAACCACAGAAAATTAATATGCGTGTCACGTACCATACATGACCTCTCAGTATGAAACAAACCTTTGATCGACACATGTCAAGATTGTTTGACTAGCCGAGCCAATCAGGCACTGCGTTCACGCAGGTTTTCAGAATCGAGGGGTTTGTCTGCAAGCGTTTCCTTCCTTCCCCTCCCCCTCCCCCTCCCCCTCTTTCATTTTTTGGCTCTCGTTTCATTTCCCTCTCGGTCAAAACCGAAAATCCCCTTCCTCGGTCTTTCTTTGCTCCGAAACCTAACGGAAACACTTGCTACGCAGGCTAACTGTCCACCATTATTAGTTATTTGGGGGGGGGGGGGGGAGGGGGGAGACATGATCTTGCTTACTTATTTACACCTGTCCACTAAATGTTAGAAATACAGTCAACTCTCTTGTAAACAACCACCCTTGGAAAAATAACAAAAATGAGCTCAAACTGAACTGACAAACATAATTACATGTAATTTACCTTCTTTAGTTTTTTATTACAATTAATATTAAATAAATAAGTTACAGTAAAACAACTAAGGTACATACTATAATAAAACAAGTTAGCCATGTAACTCAAAAGGAAATAGGGCCAAGGCGCATACAATATTGATACAAGGAGAACAAAAGGACAATTGAAAATAAATAAAGCAAATATTAGGCTTGACACTGACTTCTTTGGAAACTAGGCAATGGGCTAGTAAGTGAAATAATCACTAGCCCATGAGGGAAATTAAAGCCACTGGTCCAAAAAAGCACAGAAAAAAATACCAGGGGGTCAGGAACCAGTAATCTCTATTTCACTCCCTACATGTACAGGGCTGTACATGGCTTCCGTTTAGCGAGTCAATCATATTATACCTCCACGATATGAGTAGCAAGTCCTTACAGGGCTCGAAATAAAAAAAAATCCTCAGGTCGCCTTGACGCGACCAACTGTAGAAATATAGTCGCCAGATGCAAATTTTTAGTTGCCAGTTTGTATAATGTAAATGACGCAGCTCGCATCATAGTAATACATATGGTGCGATATAAGATTGAAAGCAAAGCAAGATAAGACGAAATGTTTGTTTCAACTTTACTCTTTTAATTTAAATCTAAATCATTGAGAAACCTGGTCGCCAAAGTGGCGACTAAACCCGATTTTTTAGTCGCCAAGGAGAAAAGGTTAGTTGCATTGGCGACCATATCAGTCACAATTTCTAGCCCTTCCTTAGTTTACATTTAAATACTTAACCTATAGATTTAAACAAACTCCTGATAAAAAGTTGTAGAAAAAGGAACTTCTCAAGTAAAAGAGTTTTAGAAATGCTATTTTGTCAACTGAACTAACTGGGTTAGGGGCTATTAGAAGCTTATTTTTGCCAAGCCCAGCCCAAAGTTTTACTAGTCCCCGGCTAGTGGACTAGCGTTAGTGTCGAGCACTGCATATTGAAGCCATTAACCCGAGAAGTCACAAGCATAATTATCAGAAATGCACAAGGACGTCCACTTATTTCTGTATTTGGTGTGGTTTCCAGTTTTAATAGCAAGCTCAAAATAGGCAAATAGACAACTGGCAATTAGTGTTTCACATCAAATAGCGCTAGGAACTGTAAAACTTTGTACAATTTTTTATTATAAACAGTATGCACTATCAAAGTGGAAAATGCGCTTTTCAGCCATCTTTTTTGTAAGTCAACTGCTTTAAACTGCTTGCAATATTGCTTGGTTATTAGCAGAGCTAAAAAACTGAATTTTGGTAACAATCAAGCAATGGTTTTCTTACAATCATATGTGCCTCATACCGCGTGGTCACTTACCGGAAACAGAAAAGAAATGAAAATAACACATTTCTGGCCTAAAAAGTTGTCACAGTTGTTTAAGAAATCTTTAAGAAGTGGTGCTTATACAAGAGAGTTTTTGATTAGCAGAAACAGTATTTAACTGAAGGGTCATTTTCAAAGTGTTGCTTACAGGAGGTGGTCGCTATGAGAGAGTTAACTGCAGTAGTCTCTCTTTTTTTTTTTCAGTACTTTTAGTAATGGGGACAGTACCTTCATATGAAGATGAGGAAGAGTGAATGATGGTTCATGATCTTCCTGTGGGGGAAGCATGTGTATTAGAAGTCGTCCATCCTTGGTCGCTGAAATCACTTCTGTTATGAAAAGAAACAAACAAACATTTATTATTTTTTGAAGTTAAAAGTAAGCAGTTAGACAGTACGTCAAATTATCTGAAATTCTCAATACTGGAGTTATCATGGAAATATTATTGTTCCTTTTAGCCCAAAATGGTTCACGAAACATATTTTAAGGATGCAAAATAATATCTACCTGGCTCTGGTTGTTCAAATGGTGGATAGCATTATCACCAGATAAATTGCTATCCAGTGGATAAGTATGAACTTTATTTCTAGCCCATTAGCACTTCAAATGAACTGTGGATTTCAGCCTGAATTAAGATCTTCCCCACAGCACATGTTTTGGGAAAACTGGACCCAGATGCTTAGATTTTCAAAATAGGCCATTTTCAATAGTTAGTCATGTGATCAATTTCTGTAAACACAAAAAAAATAAGCGAACCATGTTTACAGAAAGTTGATTATGTGATCAACTTTTGCAAAAGGCCTACTTATTACTGAAAGAGGTGAAATACAAACAACTACAAGGTGCAAATTTCAAACGCCAGTTTAGACCTGTCAATAAGAAGAAAAGCATGAAAATCAAACGGTAAAGTTGAGTTGAAAGTCCTTACCATTAATTCCATCGCTATCCAAATCTGTGATAAGGGGAACAGGTCTGAAAATTTACATAAGAACACAGCAAACTCTGAGGGTGTTAAGATCATCTCTAGTGCGTAGACACCCTCTATTACACCAGGACACATGTACATTGATAAGTCCCTGGGAAACAGGTATTTAATGTCCAGACACCCTTATCATGCAGACACTAGAGAAGGTTCCATGACAGCTCAGTCGATGGGGAGCCACAGGGGAATTGAAGGCAGAATTCAAATTCCAGAGATGTAGTTGCAAGCCCTCCTCCCTTTTCCCGTTCTGCCGCCAGAGCACCCCGGAGAGCTTGCTTGCAGGCTACATCAGTATAGAATTTCTGCACTCATCTCTCAGATGTCATTTTGCGGGGAAATCAGTGGTGTTGGTGACTTTTGGGTGGATTATTTCTTTATATATCTATTTGTAATAAAATAAATTACTTTTTTGCGCAGGGATTATTTTTTGGGACGGGGATATAGTGTAGGGGAATGTTGAGTGAACTGTAACATACACAGCTATTTCGAGAAAGAAACAGTGAAAGTCGGAAACAATGACCGCACGCCAATCCCAAGAGGTAATATGGGATACGATCTATACACTGTTCCTGACACTGTAGCTTTCGAACCTACTTTTCTTGCTATCCTTTACCACTCACAAACATGTGTCCATGGTCTCTCGTGCCATTCTTTCAACTTTCTTCGAAGAACAGTGAACTCAAAACCACCCACAATACATTTTGGGATTAATACGTGCACTTTTTCCGACAAACCTTTCTCGAAAAAAAGCTGTATATCCATTAGTGGCAAATGTAGCACACTTTGGGTTGAGTTCACGACTGGAACTATTCTCACTATAAGCAATAACAGTATGACTTACAGCTGGTTTTTACCAGGCTTATGATGGCTCTCAGAAGTGCTGCCAAGTTGCCAAGACGGCTTCAACTCCCAAACATTAGGAGCTCTGAACAAAAACACCGCTGCAAAAACTGCCAATACCACAACAACATCTTGAGCCCGCACTTTACTGACATCAAATGGCAGGAATTTTATTAAAGGGTCAGTATTCATAGCCGTCACCTGGGAAAATAAACAAGATTAACAGAAGACGTTTTATGACTTAAACTTAATGTTACTGTTTGAGGCTTGTGTTAACTGCAACGCAAAAAGAACGACACATAACACAAACAATAAAACGTTCTCATTCAACAAGATGCAAATGAAGTGACAGGGTATTTTGCAATTTAGGGAATTTATGAACTGACCAACATTTAAATTTCCAATTTCCCAAACATTTTCTCACCCCGCTCGGCGCTCTGTCGCCGCCATATTGAATGGTCTCTGTGCCTAATATGGTAATGATTACCTTATATGTACTGAAAGCCTTTTTCAACTGACCAATAGGAAAGCGTCTTGGCTAGCATCTTTTTGAGTGCGGTCAGTTTCAAATCTAACGATCAAACGTGCGACTGTGGTTGTGAATACCCCGAGTTACTTTTACATTTGTTTGTCGAATTCTTGTTTTTAAATTGACTTTGGCAGTCAGGGAGTTAAAAGGCGTTTGGTAGTTGTGTTTTTGCAACATGGATTTGGGTATTGAACCAAAATATGAGTACGATGCACCACAGTTTGTGGATTTCACGGAGGGCCTGCAACACGTCATTGACCCCGACGCTGACAAATGGTTTGGTATGTTTATATTTTTGATTGACTTTTTCAAATGCAATATGGTCCGAGGTGTTCGATTTTCTTAACTTCATGTATATCTTATTGTGTGAAGATCAAAAAATAGCGGATGAAGGTGGCGTTGTGGTGGAAGAAGACGAAAATGACGAAGAGTCGAATGGATCGTCGGCAGAACCTTTGGACGCAGTCGTTGCCGACACGATCAATGATGTGGCGTCTTCAGAAATTCCAAATGGTCATAAAGAAAATAAAAACTCTCCTAATCGAAATGAAGTGGATCCAGAGATGTCAGCTGCCAGCACTGAGACGAACGAGTCTCGCCAAAAACAAGCCCCCAAGAATGTCGTTACGTCTTGGTCAGAATGGTTGTCGAAATGTTCAAACTCCGCTGCAAGTTGTCAAGCCACAAAGGAGGACAACAAAGAAAACGCTTCCCAAAACCAGGTTAAAACTTCACAAAGTCAAGTCAAAAGGTACGATGGATTTAGAGTAGATTGGATTTTAATCATGCTAATGTAAACTTGTTAGAAAAGTCAAGTAATTTTGTTACCTCTGCGTCCTGTGGCATGCGTCCCGTAGGACACAAAGAGTGAGCGATTTATAGATTTGAATATTTTTTTGGTAGAATATCCTGTTCGTGTGATTTCGTTTTTCAGTAAATTGTAATAAAGAGTTCTGGCTTCTGTCTCAGCTCAACTGTCTGGTTACATAATTTGATAAAGGCCCATGCATGCCAAGTATTTTCAATTTAGAAATCCTTGGTTTTTTTTCTGGGTAGGACTCATGATTTTTCACAAGATGAGTCCCAGGACACACCATAACTATTTGTAACAAAATCACTGCATGTCCGTTGATGATCATGAGATTCTTGCATGTGTATCTTTATTCGGCTCTACCACCTACCCCCAAAAGAAAACCAAAAAAAGATCAATAAATGCACAACCTATATCCTCAGTAAACTGCAAACAGAGCTTACAAGGTGTCACGGTAACTTTTCCTGGATTTGTAGTTCTTGGGTGCAATCCATTTAAGGAAAATTTCTGGAAATTTTGGTCCAAAACTCAGTGGATCGGTTCGGTCCAACCGGAAAAGTTTCGAAAAAACTGGTCCACCTTGGACCACTTTTCCCGGTTGGAATTTGGTTGAATGGATCACACCCATTGACTTTTGAACAACTGAGCCAGGTGATTTAGTATTCGGGACCGACTGGCTTATTGTTGCTTAGTTGGAAGTAAATTTTAATCCAAATTAATTTACCTGAATATTCTTTGCATACTTTCAAATTTGAATTCAAAATTTGCATTAACCTTAGATGATCTTTTAACCAAGCAATATTCCTTGTCTCACCAGGAAACGATCAAAGAAGGTCCCCGAAAGACGATCTGCTCGACTAAGGACTCTGTCAACCTGTTCCAATGCCTCGACTTGTTCTTCAGTGTCTAGTTCTTCAGATGTTCCCACTGCAAGAAAGGTTCCTAAGGTTAAACCTCATTTGCTGACCATACCTCAGACACCTACTTTTATGAGGTAAAAAAAGTCTATTAAAATTCTATTGTGTGTACCTGAGTATTATAGGATTAATTTATTTATTGGTCAGAAGTTTACACAAGACTGCAGCCCAGCAAAAGCAGCAAGAAATGGCCAAGTTGCTCCTCGGGTAGCCAATTACAACACAGCATACACTTTCCTTTGCCTGCTCATGTATTAGTAGTAGAAGGAAGGATTATGTGTATTCAGAAGGGGGGGGAGGGGTGTCTCTAGGACAAGAATGGACAACGAGTGCATGGGTACACAAGACACCTCTGTAGTTCCCAGATGTCTATCCCTTAAGAGCAATGCGTCCAAACCTCCTTAACCCATTTACCCCCTGGAAATTTTGCCGAAAAAATGCGTTTTGAGGCTAGTCAAGCAGTTTTCTTGTCACCTTGGTGCTATAAAGAGCTAAAACTTACCATACAGCCATTTTAATACAGGTCGTACACTTTGCAGCCTTCTGATCCAGATATAAAATATTAGCTTGCAAAATTCGGCCATGCACAGAGAGCAAAATTTTGAGATAGTTTTTTGAGTTTAAAAGTGACAGAGCAGTCTTGACTTTCCTTCTTTGTTAAGAAAAGTTTTTATGAAAGCTTTTAGGATCTTAGAATTAGATGACAGGAAAGGTAGGTGGGTAGTCGAACAAGATTTTCATGAAAATTTTTC